CTTATATATGAATAGGACAAGCTACTACAACAGAAATTTTTATGTGGCTTCCAGTCATAAATGCAAATAAAGAGGATGGTCAATTCTCTGTGATGCAGACATCTATTGGTGCCAGAAAACCATAAAATCCATCCAGCACCCTACCCATACACCCCAATGCTGCTGAGATGCTCGGCTTAAGGTCGGTACAGCCAACACATCAACCTTGTAACTTCAAAATGTATTGATGTCAAAATGCAAAAACGGTAACATTTAAACAAAAAAAAAAAAAGTTTATAAAGCACATAGCATTCCCCAAACTTTCAGGGCCACGGGGGAAACCCTTCTTTAAAGTGATAGCAAAGTCACCCTGCTGGCCTATTTCTTGTGTTTGACCATCTGGTGCCAGACTGTTACATCTAGATGCAGGTATCCATAAAGTAAATGGCTAGCATTTCTGCCTGGCAGTACTGGGGTCGCTGGTTTGAATCCCAACCACAGCACCACCTGCCTGAAGTTTGCATGTTCTCCCTGTGCTTGCGTGGGTTTCCTCCGGGTACTCCGGTTTCTTCCACACTCCAAAGACATGCTGGTAGGTTAATTGTCTCCTGTCTAAATTGGCCCTAGTATGTGTATGTATGAATGTAAATTAGGGACCTTAGATTGTACGCCCCTTGAGGGTTAGGGACTGATGTAAATGTACAATATATATGTAAAGCGCTGTGTAAATTGACAGCGCTATATAAGTACCTGAAATAATAAATAGGTGCAGGTATCCATAAAGTAGCAGACATTTTGGATCAACATCTACAATTCAAAGGGTTGGGTAATGGGTAAGTGTTAGGATAGATAAAATTCTAAGTGATCATTTAGATTTTGTGGGGTTTGGCAACATCAATGAATACTTAGAAAGCAATATTTTAGAAATCTTACCCTGAATAGAGTTTGAAACTTCATTCATATAAGCATAACTACATTGGCAGCCTGCAACATTTATAGTGAAGTCTGCTTAGCAATAATTGAATTAATTCCTGATATTTTACTACAGTTGTGACCAAAAATTATTCAACCCCCACTGAAATTGAGTGTTTTGGCCAGTTTGACATTGCTTTTGATCATTCAGTCATCTTGCTTACATTTACATTAAAGAGGCACTTGTAGGTCAGACAAAATAATAACATAACAGTTATAATGAAATAACCACAAATGTCTTTTCTGTGCTCACAGCATTATCAGTTTTATTCAACCCCCAAGTGACATTCAATCTTAGTACTTAGTACAGCATCCTTTTACAGTTATAACAGCTTTTAAACGTGAAGCATAGCTTGACACAAGTGTCTTGCAGCGACCACTACGGTTATCTTCGCCCATTCTTCATGGGCAAAGGCCTCCAGTTCAGTCACATTCTTAGGCTTGCGCACTGCAACTGCTTTCTTTAAGTCCCAAGTAGTGGTTCTCAATCGGATTTAAGTCTGGTGACTGCGATGGCCACTCCAAAATGTTCCAGCCTTTCCTCTGCAACCATGCTCTAGTGGACTTGGAGGTATGCTTGGGATCATTGTCCTGTTGAAAGGTCCAACGTCTCCCAAGCCTCAGGTGTGTGACGGACTGCATCACGTTTCCATCCAATATCTCCTGGTACTGAAGAGAATTCATGGTACCTTGCACACGCTGAAGCTTCCCTGTACCTGCAGAAGCAAAACAGCCCCAAAGCATGATTGACCCTCCACCATGCTTCACAGTAGGCAAGGTGTTCTTTTCATCATAGGCCTTGTTCTTCCTCCTCCAAACATAGCGTGATCCATGGGCCCAAACAGTTCTTAATTTTGTTTCATCAGTCCACAGAACACTATCCCACAACTTTTGTGGTTTGTCCACATGGCTTTTGGCATACTGCAGTCGACTAACTCTTCTTATTCTTTGGAGACAGCAAGGGGGTACGCCTGGGAGTAGTTCTGGCACGGAGGCCTTCATTACGCAGTGTGCGTCTTATTGTCTGGGCTGAAACTTCTGTACCCACATCTGACAAATCTTTTCTCAGTTCCTCAGCAGTCACAACGGGGACTTCTCTCCACTCTACGCTTCAGGTGAGCGCAACACAGCAGTCGAAGTCAGCATCTTCTTTCTGCCACGACCAGGTAGCGTTTCAACAGTGCCCTTTGCCTTGAATTTGCGAATGATGCTTCCTAAGGTGTCTCTTGGTATGTTTAACATCTTTGCAATCTTCTTATAGCCATTGCCCTTCCTGTGAAGAGAAATCACCTCTTCTCTTGTCTTCCTGGACCATTCTCTTGCCTTCACCATGTTTGTAACCACACCAGTAAATGTCTAGAAGGAGCTGAGTATCACAGTCATTTTAAAGCTGCCTAATTGGTGCTTATTATGCTTGATTGCATCCACAGGTGTTTTCAATACCTGATGGAAAGCACCTGTATGAACCTCTGTTCTTCAGAGTGGTAGTCTTTAAGGGGTTTGAATAATTGTGGCAATGAAGAAACCACATAAGAACCATTTACTACTGTATTACATAAACAATTGATGTCATTTTAGTTGCATTTGGGTAGTTACAACGTCCTTGTAGGATTTGATTCTGAATACAATTCCAAATGTACACTATAGTCCCTAAACCCCTTTACAGCATTGGGGGTTGAATAATTTTGGTCACAACTGTAAATGTACTAGAGCTGTTGAGATGTGAAGTTACATCCTACCCTTGCAAAGCCCTGTACCTTTTCCTGCTGTGTCCAAACAGCTGCACAGCCACTTCATTCATGTAGAGGAAGAATGAGCAGGCATTCCAGCCTACAGCAGGTAGGTATGCATTCATTCATCCTCAGTAAAAGAAGTATTTATATATGTAGCTGGGTGGTGCTCCTGCCACTATGCTGCCAGCCGTATCTGCAAAGCTGGGACTGGGATTCAAACATCCCCCCCCCCCCCGCATCTGTGTAAGGAGTGGGCCGACAGGATTGGCTCTGTGTAATGCCCCACTTACTCCCTCCTGGCAGCCACAGACCTGAGCCAATCAGTGGCAGGGAGCATGGGACACTGGGATATGTAGTCCCAGAGGAGCGTTGTACAATGCCAATGGATTGGCGTCGGAGCACATTACATTACCCAGGGATCCCAGCACATTGAGGAGGAGAGAGCAGAACATTTCTGCAGGCATTCTCAGAGAGATTAGGGTCTTTGCCAAAAGGAAGGGGAGCTGAGTGGACTTGTCACAGCTGCACCAGATAGACAGAGCCTGAGGACTGAGCAACTGGGGCCCAGCCACACAGGTAGCAGAGAGACCTAAGACCTGTGTACTGTGTGACCAGAGGCATGCCACTAAGGAGAGGATCTCATGGGAGGCTGAGCCTTGGGACCTGACTTCAGAAGTCAGCAGACCATCAAGTGATCTGGACTGGATTCCTGTGTACCAGGAGGGGTGAGATGAACCATCTCTGCTTATCTCAACACTGACACAGGTTATGCACTAGAGACTGCTTCTTTGTTTATCAGGCCACTAGTCATCAGTTGCAGTCTTGTAAAGGGGCAGCTACACCTGCAATACCCACAAAAGGGCCCCTACGAAAGCCAGCCATCATAAACAATTAGGCGCCAGGTACTTTGAACCCACTTCCAGGGCTAGCTCTTTGACAGGAATGCATACGCCCACCCACTTTTCAGGCTGTATGCATAGTGTGCATACAAAGACATTAATTTCCCAAGGTTTATGCTTATACCTTATCCCAGCCGTGCTCCAGTAATAGATTGGTTAACCATTGTAAAATTTCAATTAATTGTCAGTTTATGAGTCAATGCCCATTTACCTAGTACAGCATCCTTAAATCTGTTTGATTGCCTGTTCATTGATTTATGCATTATTTAACTGCATCCATTTAATCCACCACCAGTTGCTTGGTCTATGTCCTGTGTAGTGTTTCCTGTATAGAGTGGTGGCATACTAAACCCGACCATACATAGCTCGAATTCCAAAATAATCGAGGGCGTGATCGGGCATGATGGTAATATTTTGAAAAACAAATTCATTTTTAATCAATGATGGAAGAATTGATTTGCGAGAAATGTAATTGAAAAAGAAATAAGCATGAGCTGTGACCTGGAAAAAAAAGAAAATTCTTGGCAACAAAAATTCTTTTCTGTAGCAACACAAGGTGAAATTAAAGGCATGGTTGGTCAAATTTCGAAGTCAATGGTGGCACCATCGGATTACAAAAACACACAAAATGTATGATTTTCTAAAGAATCTTAGTTTGGAATTCGACCCATGTATGTCCTGCATAAAACTTCTGTTACACAGGTGTGAGTGGCTTTCATCCTTCTATTAGGTGTGTCAGTGGGGACTGAGCAGCTTTAAGAGTTGTGGCAGAACAGAGAAACAGAACCAGTCATCATCAGCAGCTACTATGGGGGTAGGCAATATATATTATTTATTTATTTATTTCAGGTACTTATATAGCGCCGTCAATTTACGCAGCGCTTTACATCTATATATTGTATATTCACATCAGTCCCTAACCCTCAAGGGGTTTACACTCTAAGGTCCCTAACTCATATTCATACATACACATACTAGGGCCAATTTTGGAGAGGAATCAATTCACCTACCAGCATGTCTTTGGAGTGTGGGAGGAAACCGGAGTACCCGGAGGAAACCCACGCAAGCACAGGGAGGACATGCAAACTCCATGCAGGAGGTGCTATGGTTGGGAATCGAACCCATGACCCATTTACTACAAGGCCGACGTGCTAACCATTAAGCCACTGTGCCGCATATATATATATATATATATATATATATATATATATATATATATATATATATATATATATATATATATATATATATATATATATATATAGCCATTTTTATTAAACACTCGTACGTTTTCTCATGGTCTAACTATTCTTTTATTCAACATGTACACTTTTTACAAGAGAAAGTTCTAATGCTGCAATTATCGGCTTATAGAACAAAAGTAGCTATAGGTAAAGAGGAAAAAAAAAAAACATACCTGAGAGTCATGTAATGGAAGACACCCCGCTGAGATCAGTAAAAGAATTACACTGCAAAATGAAAGGTAATCTGTAACAACATAAACTTGAAAAGCAAGACTGAAATTGTAGTTTCTGTATACTTAACTGCAGATCTGATTGTTAAATATCTATCTACAAGAAAAAGGAGCATACGTGTTCCAGCAGGACTCATGTTACTGTAAATGGTCACTTTGCAAGTCTTTCAATGTCCTCCTGTTTAAAGCGGACAATGAATATTTGTCTAGTAGTTCTGTACATTACTTTGAGGATAAGAGAACTTACCCTAAATGACATCCTGATCCAGAAGAAGGAAGCACCACACACAAGGAACCAGCAGGAGTTCCAAAGCTGACATTTGTGAAGAAAGATGGATAATAACTATTCACTATAACTTTTATTTTGGTTGTAATTTTAGGTTGATGATTTTAGTTTTAGATAATGTGAAACCCCAGACCAGATCTGCTTTTAGGTTATAATGTACGTTTTAAAACCATAACCCTAGGCAAGTAAAAAACCCTGCATTGCCTGCAAAGGGATAATTGCTTGTTTTGATCTAGAGCAGGAGTCTCCAAACTACAGCCTGTGGGCCAAATCCAATCCCCTGAAACAGTTTATCCAGCCTTCTGATGTAAGGAGGAAGGGGGGGGGACTCTGATGGGGACTCTCACATAAGGGGGTACTCTGGTGGGGGGGCTCTGATTAGGACCCTTATGTGAGGAAGAATTCTGATGGCTTCATGTTTATTTTAAGTTTTTTTTTCTGTTACTCTAAATCGGATCATGCGGATTTAAAAAAAAAAAAAAAGTAAACATTTATTCATTTAAAGTGTATTTAAACACACATCATAAAAAAAACTGTAAATAGATGCTGCATTATACGCTGTTCATACTCATTCACTATGGGATTCGTTTTCTGTATTCTGCAAAAAACCTGGTTGATCTTACTGTTCTATATATCTTCCCTTTCTGTCCATGTCCCCAGTGTAGTTGGGGATTTTGCAGAACACTGATGGCAGCTACTGCACATGCTCAGTTTTTTAGTGAGTTTCTATGCTGAGCATTTCCTTCCTATCACATCTGAGCAATCCATGTGACTAAGGAGTCACACAATTGGGCGTATACACAGTGGTAAATGACAGCCCACTCCTTCCCTCCTCCTCCATGCCCACTAACCAGCTTAACACAATAGGGTGGGCTATTACAATAGTGGCTTCACATCCCTGTTATTGTAAGACACAGACTGGAGGGCTGTATCACAGCCTGTGACTGGCAGAAATCCCCCCACACCATGCTTTTGCCAAAAAAAATTTATTTCAAATATATATTTGCATGATGATTTAGAACAGTTTATTGGTGTTAATTATTTTTACTCTGTATCCCAAAGGCAGATTTTTTTTATTTTTTATTTTGAACATGTGACCAGCAGCAGAGGACTAGATGCTCCTCCTCCTTATGTTTCCCTGCAGACAGGCTGGAAATGAGCTAGGTCATGTGACAGCTGTACATCAATTAGGAAAAAGGTACTTGGATTTTTTTTTGTTTTTTATTAAATTACAGTGCCATCATCCATGACAGAAAGATAAGGGATAATATAAATGAAACTATGTGTGCTTCGTATCTTAGCAAATTAGATTTGTTCATTTATCAAAACTAATCTTTTTCAGCCTGCGGATATCTGTAAATTATACAACATGGCCCTCATACTGAAAAGTTTGGAGACCCCTGGGACTAGGGGAAGGAAATAGAAAATGTACTTACCAAATCCTCTGCTCCTCCCCGCAGCTAGACCGATCCCCAGTGCTTCTTCTCCCTCACACTCCAGTGGTTTAGTGTCCTGACATTGAGAGCAAAGCAAAGGTCCACAAGCCCTGCACTGAACATGATGACGTTGAGGGACAAAACACTCCTGGAGTATGGCAGAGTGGAAAATCAGGACTGTTTCTCCTTTCCCCTAGACAAAACAAGCTATTAACCCTTGCAGTGTGTACATTTTCCCAGAGTTGGGCTTTAAACAGAGATTTAGGACAGTGTGCAGTTTGACCTCCAGAAAATGTATGTAATGTACATTTCAGAATATATAAAGTCTGACTGTAATAAAGGCAAATATAGGATACAGAGGTATTGACAGCTTAAAATATTATAAAACCCTCTAATGTAAACATATAATGCTGCAGAACTGATCATTTTTGTTGTGCATTTTCTCCTTTCTTGTGTTGAGGTTGCTATGCTGCCTTGCAGGGTCTCATGGAGCTCTGCTGTAGCCACCCTTGCATGTGCGTTTCTGGCCAGGACTAGAGCTGAATATCATTACACTGCATTCCATGTGCTTTGAGAACTGTCTTCATTGGTCGAGGACAATGTAAACAATGTTTAGTTTACATTCAACCTGTCTGAGCTGTACAATGTAGAAAGCAACATGTCTGCAGACCATGGTGGAGAACAATAAGGTGTGCTGAAACCAGCCCCTGCACCAGTTTAGCTAAGCTCTGCTCACCACCTGTCCCATAGGACTTCAGCCAGTCAACTATGGAGGGCAGAATGCAAACCTTGCAAGATTTCCGGCGCATTCTTTATTCACAGTTCTGGTCTGCAAGCATGTGTACGTCATTACACAAGTACAATTATCCTTTACAATGAAAACACAACACCTGACAAAAGTTAAGACAGTTTTTGTTTCTTACCTGCAGCTTTTTGTGTAAGAGCTTTGCTACAAATAAAAAGATAAAATTTAGCTTATTATAAAAGTAACAGACAATTTTGCCATATAACAAATCACATACAAAATCTAAATACGATCAAAGGGTAGATTACAGAACAGCAGATATGCAAAATCTAAACAGAGCTTTTAAGCTCTGTATAAACCTAAAGAAATAAGCTGGGTCACAGTCCACCAATAATTTGTACCAGGTAATGAACACGCCTAACAGGATGTTAAGCACTTGCTTTGACTTTGAATAGCTAAGACACGTTATCGGTCAGGTTTCTGTACAAAACTTTGCCTGGACATAATCCTTCAATATATGTTAAATAGCTCCTTAATGAAGGAGGCCTTGTTAGTAAGATACTGCTCCTTCACTGTTTAGTCACAGGCCAGAGCAGATAGGTGACCATGCTTTATGGTTCAACTGCGAGAGCAGAAAAGTGAGGTCACTAACCTGTCAGCCGGGGGTGCTTGAATAACAAGACTGTTTGAAAACACAATTGTAAATCCTTTGTTCAGTAAAACATTCCACACGTATATTTTAAAGTGGAGGTAAGGTCCACTTTGTAAGTTGTACCTACAGGTAAACCTATACTAAGGCTTACCAGTAGGTACAGTGAGTATCTCCTAAACTTGCACTGTTTAGGAGATGGTCACACACAGCATGCAGACGCTAATGTCACAGGCGCATGCACTCTGAAGGGACCTTCAGAGCTCCATGCCGCAGCCGAGGGCTCCCGCGCGCATGTGCGGGAGTGACGTCATCATGGCTCCGGCCATTTATACTGCCGGAGCCCACGAACCTGGAAGGCAAACAAGGTGAAGATGGCGGCACCTGGAAGCCATCACAGCACGGTTCTGGAGGGCTACGTCATAAATTTACTAGTATGCGGTGAATAGTAGTACATTATGACCTAAACCTTCAGGGGACCCATTATTTGGAGTTTATTGGGCGGCTTACTACAGATTTAACTGTGAATTTAGCCGTTTGTCTAACGTTATGCAGGGTTGTTTTAGATTACAATGGTGTATAACAAAACTGAATGTGCCTGCCACACAGACATTATTATGGATTGCACTGTTCCTAAGCAGGGCTGTATTTACTAAAAACCTTTTGTAGGCCAGTGCTTAGGACAGTAGAGTATGACAGCCCATACATAAGACAGTTTTTTGGTTCAACCAGTAGACTGAACAAAAAAAGATCTGATTTCCCCATCCACACACTCAGTGGTGTATTTAGATTTTGTGCTGCCCTAGGCAACACAAAAATCGGACGCCCCCCCCCCCCTGCCTGGCGGAGAGAGACTGACACCGATCAACTTCAGCCTCCCCCCCCCTGCAGAGAGAGCATGACAGCGACCAACAACACCCCTGCTCCACCCCCCGACCCGAGAGAGCCTTCCACTAACACACACACACACACACCCCGGCAAAAGAGTGAACAACACTCACGTTCACAGTTCTCGACATCCTTGGGAGCGTCAATCGGGCTCTGCATACACCATCAAGCAGTCCGCAGCCTCTCTCAAATCCAACCTGGTCCCCATGTCGCAAATGTCCCTTCTTCCAGGGGGCAGTGCTGCCCCCCTAAAAAAAATGCCACCCTAGGCAAATGCCTTGTTTGCCTTGTGGTAAATACGCCTCTGCACACACTTGATGTGTATGCGGAAATCCTCCCCTCCAAGTCATGGAATTCTGACAGCAGGGAGATTTCCCCACCATCACAGTACACAGGTCAGTACAGCAGGCTATAGCCTGCAGCACTGATCAAGTGGAAATTTTTCAACAGGGCAGTTGAACAGAAGCCAATTGTTAGATTGACTTCGGTTCAACCGCAGTGTGTATATGGATGGAAATTCATCCGGTCCTTGCCCTTGTGGAACTGGTCAAATTTCAATCCATGTATAGGCAGCTTAAGGGTGCACTCACACTAGGGTGTATATACCATGCCCGAGCACATTTGAAGTACAAAGTCCACATTGTTTGAATAGTGTGATTGCTCTACATTGTGCTTGGGTACGGTTCAGCTTACCATGCCCTGGCCCTGTTTGAAAGAGGTGATCTGGGGCATGGTTCAGTTATCCTCTGGCAGGGTACTCTTTACGTGTAATCACTGACTGTGCCTCAGCACAGAATTCCCATAGATCACTGAGTAAAGAAGCAGGGGATCACTGTGAAATGGCTGACAGAGGTGATGGCATAAGCATGCTTGGGCCTGGCACAATGTAAGTGCAAGACCAGCAAGAGAATGAGGAAGGGACAATCATACAATACAACCTGCAACCATGCCCAGTGTGAGTACACCCTAATTTTCTTAGGCATTGCCACATTTGGAAACTTGTAGGTAAATCCAGTAGCAGAACTAAAGAATGAAGAAGCTAATGAGAACTGAAACTGTATTTACACTTTTGCAGTAAAGTTTGAGAAACCCACACTAATATGCTATGTGTTTCCATTCACATAGTATACCTAAATAATACCTAAATAATTAACAAAACATATATTTTATTTACATTTTTTGTTGTTTTTTTGGAGCAGGCTTATACATAGGACTCTATTGACAGCTTCTATTATTTAAAATACACTGCTCAAAAAAATTAAAAGGTACACTTTGAAAACACATCAGATCTCAATAGGGAAAAATATCATGCTGGATATCTATACTGATATGGACTGAGTAATGTGTTAGGAAGGTAAGGATTCCCCATTGTTTGATGTAAATGAAAATGATCAACCTACAGAGGACTGAATTCAAAGACACCCCGAAAATCAAAGTGAAAAAATTATACCGAAGGCTAGTCCATTTTGCAGAAATTTCATTGCAGCAATTCAAAATGGTACTCGGTAGCTTGTATGGCCGCCATGTGCTTGTGTGCATGCCTAACGTCGGGGCATGCTCCTAATGAGACAACGAATTGTGTCCTGGGGTATATCCTCCCAGATCTGGACCAGGGCATCACTGAGCTCCTGAACAGTCTGAGGCGCAATCTGGCGGCGTTGGATGGACCAAAACATGATATCCCAAAGGTGTTCTATTGGATTTAAGTCAGGCGAGCGTGGGGGCCATTCAATGGTATCAATTCCTTCATCCTTCAGGAACTGCCTGCATACTCTCATCACATGAGGCCAGGCATTGTCCTATACCAGGAGGAACCCAGGATCCACTGCACCAGTCTAGGGTCTGACAATGGGTTCAAGGATTTCATCCTGATACTTAATGGAAGTCAGGGTGCCATTGTCTAGCCTGTAGAGGTCTGTGCATCCCTCCATGGATATGCCTCCCCAGACCATCACTGACCCAACACCAAAACGGTCATGCTGAACGATGTTACAGACAGCATAACATTCTCCACGGCTTCTCCAGACCCGTTCATGTCTGTGCTCAGGGCGAATCTGCTCTCATTTGTGAAAAACACAGGGCGCCGTTGGCGGACCTGCCAATTCTTGTGTTAAATGCCAATCGATCTCTATGGTGCTGGGCAGTGAGCACAGGGCCCACTAAAGGATGTCGAGCCCTCAGGCCACCATCATGAAGTCAGTTTCTGATTGTTTGGTCAGAGACATTCTCACCAGTGGCCTGCTGGAAGTCATTTTGTAGGGCTCTGGTAGTGCTCATCTTGTTCCTCTGTGCAAAAAGGAACAAATATCAGTCCTACTGATGGGTAAAAACCTTCTAGAGCCCTGTCCAGCTGTCCTAAAGTAACTGCCTGTCTCCTGGAATCTCCTCCATGATCTTGAGATTATACTGGCAGACACAGCAAACCTGGCAATGGCACGTATTGATGTGCCATCCTGGAGGAGCTGGACTGCCTGTGCAATCTCTGTAGGGTCCAGGTATCGCCTCATGCTATTAGTAGTGACACTGACCCTAACTAAATGCAAAACTAGTGAAAAACAGTCAGAAAAGAGGAGTAGGGAATAAAATGTCAGTGGCTTTCACCTGTAAAAACCATTTCTGTTTTGGGGGTCGTCTCATTGTTGCCCATCTAGTGCACCTGTTGTTAATTTCATTTACACTAAAGCAGCTGAAACTGATTAACAACCCCCTCTGCTACTTAACTGACCAGATCAATATTCCAGAGTTTAATTGTCTTGATGGTATACTCTGATTAAAAAAAGTTTTCCTTTAATTTTTTTAAGCAGTGTAGCTTGCAACATGCAAAGAAAATGACTGTTTTTTTTTCATTTAACATGCATTAACACACAATGTACCACCAAAGTCTTGATGTTCTTAACCCTATGTTAGGACAGTGTTCAAATCCTGTTTACAACTCATAATGAAGATCTACCAGTACAGTACAAGCATGGTTGAATTATAGTAAACTTCCCAGCCCCTCCTTAAAGTGTATGTTACCCCAACATTTCATATTCCTGATATGTGTCTGTGTTACCATGCACTTGTATAAAACTTATTCTGTTCTCTTTGCATTCACTTCCTTTGTGTAAAATACCTGCTGATCCTGCCAGTCCCCCTGCTTTCCTGTTTCAAACTGACCACACCAGGGAATGGAAGCACACCAATCCTAGCGTGGTCAGTTTGCCACTTTGCATACTATGTGGGAGCACAATTTTATATGTATTATATATACCAGCGCCGGGAATAGGGGTTGGTGGGAGAGGCGGCGGTGGGGGAAGTTACAAGCACTGATATCCCTGTATGGCTTTCAATGAAGCAACTGAAAGCAGTGGGAGGGAGAGAAGGAGAAGCAGCTTTCAGATGCTTCATTGAAAGCTATACAGTGAGATTGATTCTTGTAACTGCCTCCACCACTGCACCGATCATCCCTGATCCTTTAATTTCTTTCCGCCCCCCCTGTGCTTCTCAGTGCCCTCCCCCTCCCCCCATCTGCCGCACCAATGGGAGAGGAGAGAGGCTGGATCTGCTCTGCCTCCCCCTGTGCCCACCCACACTCCAGTCCGTGATGTGCAAAAGAGGATGTGTGGGCGGGAAATTGTTTACAGAGCAGCCGGCAGCTCTGTGATGCTTCTGACTGAGCGTGTGAGCCGGGAATCATCCATGTGAGTCCAACCATCCTTCCTTCCATCCCCCCCTCCTTCCTTTCTACACTCCTTCCATTCTTTTCCTCCCTCCCTTTCTTCATTCCCTCCCTCCTTCCTTCCTTTCCCTCTCCCTTCCCCTCCTTTTCCTTCCTTCCTTTCCTCCACTCCCTTTCCTTCCTCCCACTCTTCCTTCCTTCATATTTTCCTGTATTCTGCATAAAATATTTAACAGTGCCATTTCATGAGATAATTTATAAGGGCATGTTTAGGGGCGGGATAGGTAGGGGTTGGGTGGGGCAACTGGTGGCGAGTAACTCTTAAGTCTTGGTTAGTAGCACAGGACTTAAAATTGTGAGCCCTCATATATACAGTATATCCACATCCCGATCTCCCTATAGCAGATATACTACTAGAGGGTGGCAGGGGAGCGCAAAATCACGTATATATACACACGTTATTTTGTATTTCTGGGTAGGGGATGTGCACTCTACCTGAACCGCCTTTAGTGGCCGTGGCTGTCAATCACCGGGTCACAGCCGGTGATTTCCCACCGGCACGCGGTGATTACCGAGCATCTCCGGCGGGGAGGAGGGCTTCTTTGTTTACTACTAGTCCTCCTCTCTGTCGGCTCGGGCACACTGCTGTGGATGGCTGTACACAGCACAGCCATCCAGAGCAGTGTGCTTACAGTGTAGCACCAACACACCGCCCCCCAGCGCTGTAACGCAAAAAATGGCCTGGTCAGGAAGGGGGGTAAATCCTCAGGAGGGCAAGTGGATATAAACACACATACATACACACACACACACACGTCTTGCATTCTTTTACAAGATAAAGGTCCACATATAACAATATGAGCAATACATACAGTAGAAGGGGAAGCAGCAATTTTTAATTTCCAAGTGACGCTATGTGAATATGTTAACATATATTACAGTGCTGTGAAAAAAAGCACTTGACCCCTTCCTGATTTTTTTTTTTGCATATTTGTCACACTTTTAAATATTACACAAAGATAACCCAAGTAAATACAAAAAGCAGTTTTTTTAAATGATGATTTCATTTATTAAGAGAAAAAAAAACTGTCCAAACCTGCCCTATTTGAAAAAGTAAATCTAATAACTGGTTGTGCCACCCTTGGCGGAAACAACTGCAATCAAGCGTTTGCGATAACAGGCAATAAGGCTCACATCGCTGTGGAGAAATTTTGGCCCACTATTCTTTGCAGAATTGTTTTAATTCAGCTACATTGGAGGGTTTTTGAGCATGAACAGCCTACTAAGGTCATGCCACAGCATCTCAATCAGATTTAAGTCTGGACCTTGACTAGGCCACTCCAAGACCTTAATTTATTTATTTTTTTTAAGAGCCATTCACAGGCAGACTTGCTGGTGTGTTTTGGATCATTGTCCTGCTGCATACATGGTTCCATCAGTTATGGCAAGTCGCCCAGGACCTGAAGCTGAAAATCAGCTCCAGACCATCGCACTACCAATACCATGTTTGACGCTTGCTTTGATGATTCTTTTAATAAAATGCAATGTTAGTTTTACACCAGATGTAACGGGACGAACACCTTCCAAAAAGTTCATCTTTTGTTTCATCAGTCCACAGAATATTTGCCAAAAAGTGTTGGAGATAATCAAGATGTTTTTTGGCAAATGTGAGACGGGCCTTTCTGTTCTTTTTGGTCAGTAGTGGCTTTCACCTTGGAACTCTCACATGGATGCCACTTTAGCCCAGTCGCTTTCTTATTGTTGAATTATGAACACTGACCCTAACTGAGGAAAATGAGGCCTTCAGGTCTTAAGATGTTGTTTTGGATTCTTTTATGACCTCCTGAATGAGTCGTTGTTGTGCTTTTGCAGTATTATTGGTAGGCCACTCCTGGGAAGGTTCACCACTGTTTCAAGTTTTCTACATTTGTGGATACTGGCTCTCACCGTTGTTCGCTGGCATCCCAAAGGCTTAGAAATGGCTTTGTAATCCTTTCCAGACTGATACATGTCAATGACTTTGCTTCTCATCTGTTCTTGAATTGCTTAAGATTACCGCATGATGTCTTTTCAAATAGCTTCTATTTAAGTCATTTCTTGATTCAACAGGTCTGGTAGTAATCATGCCTGGGCATGGAAAGTGAAATTTAACGCAGCTTTCCAAAAAAATTCAAGATAATTTAGAGGGAGCAATTACTTTATCACATAGGGCCTGGCAGGTTTGGACAGTTTTTTTCCCCTTAATAAATGAAATCACCAATTTGAAAAACTGCATTTTGTATTTACTCAGGTTATCTTTGTGTAATATTAACATTTGATGATCTGAATCATTTAAGTGTGAAAAATATACAGAAAAATAAAAATTCAGGAAGGGGGAAAATACTTTTTCACAGCACTGTAGGTGGGTGTTATTCTTATTTGAGTGCAAACATGGAAATACACTTTAATAATGAAATTTTAGTGTGGTGTCCCTAAAAAGATAACGCAGCACCCTTTGTAACTCACACCTAAATTGCTGCATGAAGTGAGATTAGTAGTGAGAACTGAATGTACAGAGCTGAATGCACAAATTCCCCAACACAGCGTCAATGCGGAATTATTAATACATACGTTACTGAAAAAATGTATAAATATGAATTTAGGTGTTATAACAACAGTAAGAGAGGAGGTAAATCAAATGAGGGCAGTGAGGGAGGGGGTGGTCATGGGAAAAGCACAGTAATGAGGGCACCAGGTCCAAAATTTAAACTGGGGCCCCTGGGTCTGTAGCAACAGCACAAGCAACTCCACTTTACTAAGAGAAGAATGTATATGTAGTGTTTGCTCCTGCCAACAGCAGACTAGTATGACAGTTGAAGCCTGTGCCAGATTTTAACTATAGCTACCTTTAGGAAAACTAAATAGACCAAAAATTAAAATCGGTAAGGATTATTTAAGGACATTTAAGGATTGGTAAACTGCAATAGGTTTAAATTATTTAGCTGTTAAATACCACTTTTGGGATGTGAATTAAAGCTTCCAGGATATCCCACCTCTCTGAAGAACACTCTCTGGACTCCATACGTCACAGCTTCGGCTGCATTGTGCAAAGTCAGAAACACAGGAATGGGCTGCAAAGTAGGACAGTCAGTTAAAAATTATAATAGCAATAATAATAATGTACACATAACAATTGCATTAATCAGTCCACCCACAATGAATAGTTCAGATTTGGATAGCTAATTGTCCCCGGGGTCAGGTAAGGCTCAAATCACTCCAACTTTAAGGATAAACCATGTGCATTCTGGAATGTACTGCACAGGGGCACCGAAGCGCAGTGAGATGGGTTGTTACTTTTTAATGGTTTACTTTTTTTAATCTTTATTGAAATGTCATGCAATGACACTTCATTCAATTCTTGTACCACAGCGAGTTGTGATGCTCTGTAGTAAGCTGCACTGTGTAAGAGTTGTTCATGCCACATCAGTTGAGCTGTGTTGATCTGCATAGATCAACACAGGCTTAATTCAACGCTTAATGCAAAGTGACATAGAAATAAAAATAAGAAAAATGATTGTTTTCTATGTGCCCTGTTACTTAATTTAATACTGCTTCAAGGGGTGGTGCAATTCACTTCATAAAAATGCAGCATGTCTGCATTTCTACGCAGGGAAAGGAAAAAGGAAGAAAGAAAGAAAGAAAAGAAAAGAAAGGGAAAGGAAAGAAAAGAAAAGGAAAGTAAGAAGGAATGAAGGAAAGAAAGAAAAAAGGGGAGAAAAAAAAAAAAAAGGGGGGGGGGAGAAGGAAAGAAAAAAAAGGGGAGAAAGGAAAAAAAGAAAAAAGGATAGCAAAAAGGAAAGTTAAAAAAGGAAAGGAAAAAAAGGAAAGGAAAGAAAGAAAGGAAAAAAGGAAAGAGAAAGAGAGACCAAAATAAGACAGATGATGCCTTATAACAAAGCACTGCACCTTCTGGATGCCCCTACACATCGCACATCTGCCTGTTTTTTTTGTGTTTTTTTTTGTGTGTGGGCTGGTGTGCGCAAGCCCTAAAAATGCAAACATGCTGCTTTCCACACAGCACACTGCACCTTAACGTGGCGGTATGGTGTGACCAACGTTTTTCTTTGTGCCCTTGCATTAAGGCTTTGTTGATCTATGCAGATCAATGCAGCTCAAACAAAACGGTGTGAATGAGCCCTATGCAGCAAAATACCAAGAAGGTTTTCGTGGAGTTGAAAACACAGGACATGTCATCTTCATCATTGTGAGTGATCAGTAATCAAGATGCACCGACATATCTTTAGTCTGTAATGCCACTGCCTGCTGAACAGCCACTGCAGTATTCAAAGCCAGAACAGTGCTGAATTTACAGAATAAGAAAACTCCTCTTGCATTACTTTTAATGTGCGAGCCCGCAGCTTCCAAGACGGAACAAATGATGAAACTAACTCCAAGTCTGCTGACTCACACATGAGGAGCGTACTTATCAGACTCTCCCTCTCAGACACTCAATGTTGTTTTCACAGAAAAGCAAACAAGCCATGCAAATGGCTAGGGATTCATTTACTATTCACTATGGAGAAAAAAAATATATATAAAAAAAAAAAAAAAAGAAAATCGCCTTACACTGAAAATTATTGCTAAAATGCTCAGTAAAAATAAATATTAAAAATATTATACACACAGTCCAAATAGACTAATGATTTTTGATGGTTTTAAAATAGAATCTATGTGAACTAAAAACTAAAACAATCAACAGAACAAAAAAAATTAACCTAAACCGTGTGAATAGTGAATAGATTTATAATTAAAATTAAAGTTCTACTTATTAAAATAATTTTTTAAAATACATTAATGCAAGAAAAGTAAAAGTAATATAACAAATGGCTTCCGTGACCCTATTGCATCAGCTGCTTTAAAAAAAAAAAAAAAAAAAAAATTAGCAGTGTGGAAGCAGCTGCTTTGTGATCACCCAATAACCCCATATATTGCACAGTACAGTACGGTACGTTGTGTACGCGCATCGGCTAGGTTTGTCACGTACACATGATGAATGGATCCAGGATTTATGGATAATATGGAGTTGTTTTCTTAGATTCTGGAACCTGGAGACTTTGTAGGGCTTTGGGTGGGATAAAGTCTACATTCTTAGGTCCATATGGATACCTGCCAGCCCTACCTTATTTTTATTAGTCTCTGCTGGGGTGCCTTGATTGGGATTCAAACCAATGATCCTAGTACTGCCAGGCAGAAATGCTAACCACTTAGCCACTGTGCTACCCTGTATATATATATATATATATATATATATATATATATATATATATATGTTATAGTCCATTTAATGTATATATATGTTTAGTCCATTTAAACTTTTAACATAGCCAACATTAAAAACTTTTATACATCTTACAGAAAGGCCTTTTTATGAAGGAAAAAAATTAACTGAAAAGTCATGGCTTTTATAGCATTACATAAAGCAAACACTGATATTGTATGCAGGTGTCCATATAAAACTTCGAATATTCACTAGAGACAAGCAGGGTCCCAAGCAAAAGACAATAATCCAGCTCATCACATAAAGTGCATTCCAGCTGGCAACATCCCAGCAGCCAGACCATTTCTTTATATTAAGTAATTGAGAAGAAATGAAAGCTATATGAGATTGTTATGAAAACCAGCTTTAATATCTGAAAACTCGGGTCTTGGGGAAAGGGGTGTGGGTGGAACAAAGCATAGAGATATTTGTTATAGATACCAGTCTTGACAAGGCCCTGGAACCAGCATAAATAATGCCCACAAAGAAAGCTGAGGCAGGAAGCCATGATATAACGTCAGATCTGAAAAACACAAAAATATAGAAAAAAGTGATATAATAAACGGAGGAGAAATATCTGTACAGTGATCGCACCCATACATGTGAGGTATTGTCGCAAACATCAGAGTGAGAGCATAAATTTTAGCTCCAGACCTCCTGTGTAACTCTAACCTGGTAACCTGTAAAGGTTTTGAAAGCGCGGCCTATGGAGATTTCCAGGTACCGTAGATTGGTGCCGTTCCACAGGCGTGAGCAATTTTCAGGCATTACATGTTGCATGTCTATTTATTCGGCACAACATCATATTTTATATCTTAACCAATTCAAGCACTCCTGGCTCCTCCTCTTCTCTGCATGCCCCCATAGCAAGCCACTTGCTATGGAGGCAGTCATGCGGACTTAATCAGCCCCGCCACGCTCACAATATTTGATTGACAGCAGCAAGAGCCAATGGTTCCCTCTGCTGCTGAGCCTCCTGCAAAAAGAGGAAAGAGAAAACTAATGCTTCTGCAGACAGGCACAACACTGGATGAAGATCAGGTTCAAGCATTTCAGTGGGGTGCTGGGGGACCTAACCATGGAAAGGTGTTTTACCTTAATGCAGAGAATGCATTAAAGTAAAAAAACTTTAACCTTTACAACCATTTTAAACACACTGGTAACTTTCATAAACCTTTTGGACAGCAGGAAAATGTGCTATTTAAAAGACACTGGTCCTAAGTAAGTATACATAGGTAACCCTTTGATGACAGGTCCACTTTAAGCAAATGACTGAAGTATAACTCAATTATTGAAAACCATTCTGCAGAACACGTATTGGCCTTATTAATGTAATCATACATGCATGTTTTTTTTCTACATTCTCGCAATGGCTTTTATTGCTGCATACCATTGTTCTAAACTATGTACTTCAACAGGCCTCTTTTGGAGGCACATACTGCCATCTGGTGGTAGCTTGACATACTACAAATAGTTTAAAAAAACACAATCATTAATAATTAAAAAATTAATAATATATAAAAATGAGTTTGTGAGAAGTTTGGGATGTAAGTAAATATTTAAAACCCAGAAAAACAGCAAGCACAGACAAAGTGGCTTCATGTTGGCTTTGCATCATCAGGTCCATGACTGCAATACAAACTGTTAAGTCACTTATCAGAACTTCATGCCTAAGTCCTTGAAAACAAATGACATGGCAGAGTTCCCTAGTACGTTATCAAGCATTGCAAACTCAGGAGACTTTTGAACTCAAATTACCTATATGTAGGTATTAAAAAAAAAAAACAAAAAAACACCACCATACACAAAACAAAAGTAAACAAAATAAGTGATGCAATTGCTTTTTATTACTTTAAAATAGAAGAAAAATCACTATCAGTTCCACATTTATTATAATTCAAAACAGTTAAAGGATTAGGCCTCCCAAAACATACATTTAATTTTTTGAGAAATGCTGGAAATATTGAAAAACACAGAGATTTCTTATATCTCTCAAGGACTTGGTGAAATCTGGGTCTGCACACCAGTTAACCTTTCTATAAAACACTGCTAGCAGGAAGGTTTTTATTGCAAAAGAGACTCTTCTGCAATAAATACTTTTTACATTCCTGCCAGCTATAGATCTTTTGATTGTATGCCAAGCCATGCATGCACAGCTCAGTGCATGAATTAACACCCTTGTCAATGTATGGAAGTTATGTCATCCAAGGCCAGCCAATCAAGAAAGCCAAAAATGCCAAACCCGAAGAAGACTGGACAAAAGGAAAGTATAGCAAACTTTAGTTACACTTTAAACACTTTCTCCAGGTTGGATCCCTTTACCTATTTTATATTACAAAGATTTCCATAGAAGGTTTTGGAACACACAAAATGAAGAGAACAGTCAAAATTATTGACTGGACAGAAAGTACAGAATTATGGCAGGGACATTTTGAATATCACATATAAGAAGAAATTACAGAAGTCAATGACCCAGCACACCAGGCTTTACCTAGAACTAAAGTATTACTTTTTCATTGGCTGATCCTTAATGGAAAGTTATTTTAATATAAAATGTAGAAAAGGGAAGTGTCTTGTTTTACAACACATCATTATTTCTTCTTCCTGTTTCGAAAGAACACCACTAAATCTGAAATGGTTAAAAAAAAAAAAAAAAAAAAAAACTTAACCCATGATATTTTCAGATAATCCATAATACCTGATATAACAAGAATACTTTTTAATAGCCCCCACAACCCTCTCTGCCAAATACACAATAAGAATTTTAGTTTTTAAGATTGTGTGGCTATGCTTTGAGCAATATTATATCTGAGCAGGTCTGAATCAATTAAAAAAAAAGTTGTCTTCCTAAAATGGATATGAGCTTTTTTGTCCTGTTCTAAGTTGTGCCATTTAAAAACACAGGGGATTATTTATTTACTGGAGAGTTTCAAATCTGGTGCAGCTCTGCATAGAAACCAATCAGCTTCCAAGTTTTATATTCAAAGCCTAATTGAACAAGCTGAAATTAGAAGCTGATTGGCTACCATGCACAGCTGCACCAGATTCTGAGTGCTCCAGTTTTAGTAAATCCCCCCTAGTGTAGCAGTCACTTTTGCAGCAGTTGTTTTCTTATTCCGGGTCACAACCCTGCGTAATGTCCTTTTGTCCCTTTCGGTCAGCTGACCATGTCAATTGCGCTTATGAATATCAGACGACGTTTTCCTGGAAACTGTATATGCCGTCATAACCTTTGAAACTGTACCTCGCGACATGGCAAATAAATTACCAGATTCAGTCCCAGAGGCACCAGCTAAGTGGACACCAACAATTTGCCCTCTTTGGAGCTCAGTAAGCTCTGACATGACTCCGTATTACTAGCAGTGCACGCAGTGAATGACTAAAGCGAGGCTTCCCACCTGTTAGCTAGGTGTCTCATCACACAGCGGAAAAAAAAGAATGTTACATCATTTTCGCATTCAACGTGAAAAACATCATTACTTTCACACCTGCGAATCATATGTTTTTTGTCCAACCCCTGTATATGTACAGTGCCTTGAAAAAGTATTCATACCCCTTGAAATTTTCCACATTTTGTCATGTTACAACCAAAAAATGTAAATGTATATTACTGGGACTTTATGTGATAGACCAACACAAAGTGGCACATAATTGTGAAGTGAAAGGAAAATGATAAAATGTTTTTCAAATTTGTTTTACAAATATCTGAAAAGTGTGGCGTGCATTTGTATTCAGCTCCCTTTACCCGGATACCCCTGACTAAAATCTAGTGGAACCAATTGCCATCAGAAGTCTCCCAATTAGTAAACAGAGTCCACCTGTGTGTAATTTATTCTCAGTATAAATACAGCTGTTCTGTGAAGCCCTCAGAGGTTTGTAAGGCTGGCCATACATTATACAATTTTCTTGTACAAATTTCCATTAGATTTACCAAAAAGCATATAATATGAGGTCAAACCTAAACAACACTTTCCGTTGTATCCAATTAGGCAGTTCCTTACAATACATAGTTGAAGGAAAATCTAAAGGAAATTGAAAGAAAATTGTATAGTGTGTATGGCCAGCCTTAGAGAACATTAGTGAACAAACAGCATCATGAAGGCCAAGATACACACCAGACAGGTCAGGGATACATTTGTGGAGAAGTTTAAAGCAGGGTTAGGTTATAAAAAACATATACACCCCTTATTGGGGTATTTACATTATTACATCCACCACAGAGCTGTGATTTTCTCTGGAACTACTGGGTTCATCTACTTGATGTTAACAGCTGCAGTGGTTGCTATCCGGTGAATGCACTTTACGGAATGATCTTGACAGTTGGTTCTTCATTGCACTTCAGATTATAGATTTTACAGATTTTATAAAAAAATATTCCAAGCTTTGAACATCTCACGGAACACTGTTCAATCCATCAACCAAACATGGAAAGAGTATGGCACAACTGCAAACTTACCAAGACATGGCCGTCCACCAAAACTGACAGGCCGAGCAAGGAGAGCATTAATCAGAGAAACAGCCAAGAGGCTCATGGTAACTCTGGAGGAGCAGCAGAGATTCACAGCTCAGGTGGGAGAATCTGTCCACAGGATAACGATTAGTCGTACACTCCACAAATCTGGCCTTTATGGAAGAGTGGCAAGAAGAAAGCCATTGTTGAAAGAAAGCCATAAGTAGTCCCGTTTGCATGGGGTAACATCATTTCCTTAATAGAGATTGTATATTCAAGCTGATAGGCTTATGATCAAATTACAGTGTCTTTTTTTTTATGCTGTCACCTCATCTAAAATGGTATGGTATTTGATCTGGTCTGGTGTTATTAACCATTTGGATGTAAGGTAAATAATTGTAATGGTAGCCAGTCATACTATTGTGTGCAGTACATTCCACTCCAATAGGCATTAATTACAGTTGAGCATACATTTTATATATATATCCGAATAAAGGTTATATTTTAGATTCATCGATTGGCCAGATGGTGCATAGGGACACGCACCCTTGTCCGCCATTGATTTATGTATTCACTATGTCCTGTGAGTAGACACTACTGTGTCACACATTTCACAGAGCCTGCCTTCTGAGCTACAGAGGTGCGGAGAGGAGGAGTTTCAGGAGGCAAAGTCAATACAGGAATCACTGCTTTCAGGAAGCATGGTACCATGTGAGTCCTTAAAAATTGAAAGTAAAAAGCATGCAGGGAACCCAGGAAGTTGTGGAAAGAGATGGGCAGCAGACAGGAAGCATTCACAGCATAAAAGGAGATATTCTGAGTAAGTCTTTTTGGGGATGTCTTTACCAGCTTTGCACATCTAGAGAGTGACATCGTTGCCCATTCTTCTTTGCAAGATAGCTCAAGCTGTGTCAGATGGCGAACGTCTGTGAACAGCAATTTTCGAGTCTTGCCAAATTCTCAGTTGGATTTAGGTCTGGACTTTGACTTGGGCCATTCTAACACATGAATATGCTTTGATTTAAACCATTCCATTGTAGCTCTGGCTGTATGTTTAGGGTCGTTGTCCTGCT